TCTTGAACTTGTGAGCTCAGGCAATCTACCTGCCTTCGCCTCCCAAATGCTGTGATTATAGGCATGAGCCACCACGCCTGGCTTCTTTTTTTTCTTTTGAGACAGAATGTTACCCAGGCTGGAGTATCATGGGGTCAGCCTAGTTCACAGCAACTTCAGACTCCTAGGTTGAAGTGACCCTCCTGCCTCAGTCTTCTGAGTAGCTGGGACTATAGGTGTCAGGTGTCACACACCTGACTACTTTTTCTATTTTTAATAGAGACAGGGTCTCACTCTTGCTCAAGCTACATGCAAAATCCTAAACTTAAGGGATTCTCCTGCCTCAGCCTCCCAGAGTGCTAGGATTACAGGTGTGAGGTACTGCACTCGGCCCTCTGTTACAATTTTTAACTCTAGATTAATAAATACTAATTTTAAAAAAGATCTGTGAGGAATATGTCAGGGTGAGGCCAGAGTCCATTACCTTCCCTTCAAGTACTAAACAGAGTACAGTTCGTAGATGAGACATCTTTAGGTGGATACTTGAGTGGGTCCAGAGAGTAGGGGCTGTCCGTGTTGACTTGATAGCCTCAAATTAAGGCCTCAACATTTAATCTCAAATGCAACTCTCCAGTTCAGACAAAGCAGAGCAATTAAGGAAGGAGAAAAGCCTCTAGGGGCCGCTAGAGACCAGGAGAGGAGCCTTTTGAAATTCAGGATGAAAATGGCATCGGGAAGTCTAAGGCAACTTAAAATGAATTATGGGCCATGAAAAATTGCTGGACATGAGTTGACAAATTCCAAACAACCTGAATTTGTCCTAGGAGGAGAAGGAAATGGTGAGTAGGTAGCTAGTGAGGAAGTTGAGGAGAAAACAGTAATTGTTCAACCTTCTGTAATCCATGTAGGATCTTTCAGAATTTGAACGGATTGCTAATGCTAAGGTGCCAGCAGAGGGAAGCCCAGCTCCCACTATCCATCTGGATCTTAGAAGAGAGGGCAGAGCACGAAAGCCCGCAGAAACAGCTGCCCCTCCTCAGCCAGGTTCTTCCTTTTAGCCACACCCATAACTCAGACTACCAAAAGTGGTAGCTCCAAAAGGATATCAAAGAGACTCTAATCCCAGATGAAGTGAGAAGGGTACCAAGGGGAAATCACCCCCACTATGGCAGAACCAATGACTAAGTTATCCATGCCAACTGCAGTGGCTCACACCTGTAATCCCAGAACTTTGGGAGGCCAAAACAGGAGGATTGCTGAGGCCAGGAGTTTGAGACCAGCTTGGGAAACATAGTGAGAGACTCCCATCTTTCCAAATGATAGAAAAATTAGCCAGGCATGGTGGCACGGGCCTGGTGTCCCAGCCACTTGGAAGGCTGAGGCAGGAGGATGGCTTGAGCCCAGGAGTTCAAAGACAAAGTGAGCTATTGATTGTGCCACTGCGCTCCAGCCAGAGGTGACAGGATAAGGTCCTATGTCTTTAAAAAAAAAAGAGAGAGAGAGAGACAAATATGCAAATAAAATAGAGAAATGGCAACTCTGCAAATAACTTAGGGAAATGGCAACTCTGCAAATAAAATAGAGGAAAAAAAAGTGCAACTATGCAAACAAAATAGAAAGTGTGTGTGTGTGTGTGTGAAGGACAGTGTGAGAGACTTCCATTCGTTGACCCTGACAGCTGAGTGCTGCCGTTAAAGCAATTGTAAAGGAATAGAACCTTAAGAGGCCAAAGAAGGCATAAGGGGAGACACAAGCAAACAAGAGATGTCTACAAAGTCTAGAAGACAGAAAGCAGGTTGATGAGCACTTGCTGATAGAGCAGAACAGACGTAAGGCCAACCAGAGAAAAGTCAGTTTGTACCACAGAACCCGGGAAGGACGCAGGAACCGGAGGCAGCAGGTACTGGAGGCAGCAGGCACCTTCGAAGGTGTCTGGACGGTAGCTCAACTGAGAGTCTGCATGAGAAGGAAGACCCTGCCTCACCTCCTCCCGAGATTTATTATTTTGAACGGTGGAATCTGAGAGCCTTGGGCCCAAGCAGAAGCAGGGGCGACTGCCCTACACAAAGCATAGAAGTTAAGGCCAGTCTTGGCTGGACATGATGGCTGGCACCTATAATCCCAGCAGTTAGGGAGGCTGAGGAGCGAGGATCACTTGAGTCTGGGATTTTGAGGCTGCAGTGAGCTGTGAGACTGCCCTATAGCCTGGGTGACGATCGAGATCCTGTCTCAAAAAAAAAACCTGTATGTAGAGGAACGGACTCTACCCTCTTCTCTGCCTCAGCTGTGGGCACTCTGACAGACACCCAGCTTAAAAACACCCTCGGGACGCCGGCAGGTCTAGGTCTAGGACACAGAGCCCATGGCAGCAGGGTGGGGCCGGGTGAAGCAAAGGAGGTGCCAGCTGCTTGCAAAACACTGATGTGGGCACGGAAAAAGTTAGTCATCAAGATGACCACTATTCTAACACATTAAAAGCCACGATGAACCAGAGATCAGTATTTGAAAGAAAAGCAAGATACTGCTTCACCCGCCTCCCCCCATCCCGGTTCTGGGGCCAATAGAACTTTATTCGCTGGAACAGGCAGCCAGCCTACAGGCTATAGTTTGCCAACCTGATTTTTAGAAATATGATGTTAAAATAGTATTTATCTTGATTACTGAGCTTTTGTTTTATTTTCTTACTTATTTATTTTTGAGACAGAGTCACACTTTGTCAGCTCCAGTAGAGTACCATGGTGTCACAGCTCATAGCAACCTCAAACTCTTGGGCTCAAACAATTCTCTTGCCTCAGTCTCCAGAGTAGCTGGGACTACGGGCGCCTGCCACAACGCCCGGCTATTTTTAGAGATGAGGTCTCCCTCTGGTTCAGGTTGGTCTGCAACTTGTGAGCTCAGGTGATCCACCCACCTTGGCCTCCCAGAGTGTGAGGATTATAGGTGTGAGCCACTGCGACTGGCCTTGATTACTGGGCTTTTGGATGTCCCTTGCCCTCCCTTAAACTTGGCACCCAGATGGAGTGCCTCACTCAGCAGTGCAGGACAGAGAAGGTGTCCAGACTCCAGTGGACACAGGCAACCCCTCAGCCCAGGCCAGGCCCTTCGGCTTCAGCCCTGCCTTTGCAGTTAGAGTTTCTAAGCAGCTCTTTGGTGACTCACTCTGGAGATTAAATAGCCAGTACCTGTCACCTAAGGAATTCATCCAACATAAAAAATGGAGATGGGAACAAGCAGAAGGGAATGGGAGGAAAGGGGAGGAAAAAAAAGAAAAGAAAAGAAGAGAAAAAGAAAAATCAGAGATGCAGTAACTGATAGAATCAGGCCTTTTGGCTCCCAGGAGAGTGGCTTATGGTTTATTGTTTTAATGCCAGTCCTGTCTCAATCTCCTCTACAATTTTGAAATCCCCAAAGGGCTAAGCAGCAAAAGATTTGGTGTATTTGTGCTTTTCAGCAGCAAAACCTGATCTGAACTGACCTACGGCCACTGCAGCCTTTATTTATGGACTTAGCATGGACCTTCTTGTTTCACTGCAGAAATCTCCAAGTGGGGGCAGCTAATTTGTGTTGCCCACAACCACGGGAGTATTCTGTAATGTAGCATATATGTACCATATTATCTTGCTGAAATATGAACTCTGAACTTTGGCTCAATCCTGGCCTATGGGTTTCAGATAAGGGATTGTGGGTCAATATTTAAATCTCCCTCACTGGGGACGCATCAGCAGTTTCTGAATTCGCCTTCGTATGTCCACTAAATCAGAAAATAGAATGTGTTTGTCAACAGGGCCAAGTTATGACTTGAATGGGCCAGAAGCACCTTCATGGGCCCCATCCTCCATAAAACAGTAGTAAAATTTTATTTTACAATACATTGATGTAAAGATGAATATAATCTAGACTGGATTGTAGTCATTATTTTTTTTTTTTT